AGTTAGGAGTAATAAAATCAGTCTAATTTTACAAGGTCTACTGAAGACAATATACCCACGTTATATCCAATAAGCAATTTTTTTTTTTTTTTTTGAGACAGAGTCTCTGTCACCCAGGCTGGAGTGCGGTGGCATGATCTGGGCTCACTGCAGCCTCCCCCCAGGTTCAGGTGATTCTCATGCATCAGCCACCCGAGTAGCTGGGATTACAGGCATGTGCCACCATGCCTGGGTAATTTTTGTGTTCTTAGTAGAGATGGGGTTTCTCCATGTTGGCCAGGCTGGTCTGGAACTCCTGACCTCAAGTGATCTGCCTGCCTTGGTCTCCCAAAGTGCTGGGATTATAGGCATGAGCCACCACGCCTGGCTTAATAGGCAATATTTTAAACATACAAGTTCTATAACATCCACTTTCTATCTTAAGGTGTTTTAATAGCTTATGTATCTAATAAGTAGACTTTTTTTTTTCTTTTTTTGAAACAGTTTCACTCTGTTGCCCAGACTGGAATGCAGTGGTGTGACCGTGGTTCACTGCAGCCTCGACCTCCCTGGACTTAGGTGATCTTCCGACCTCAGCTTCCCAAGTAGCTGGGACTACAGGCACGTGACACTACAGCCAGCTAGTTTTTTGTTTTTTTGTTTTTTTTCTGTAGAGACGGGGTGTAGCCAAGTTGCCCAGGCTGGTCTGGAACTCCTGGGCTCAAGCAATTCACCCACCTTGGCCTCCTAAAGTGCTGGGATTACAGGCATGAGCCACCACATCTGGACCTAATAAGTAGACTTAGAGTGTGGATGAGGATGAAGTGACAGGCCAGGTGATCTATTCTGTCCCTACCTCATAGTCACCCTACTCTTGACATCATTCTAATTGTATTTACACTTGGTGTTGAAGAAAACAAACACAAAAATCTTCATGGGTCAACTTTAAACATATCTTATTTCTAGATCACCATGGATTCATATCCTTTTCTTCCTATTATTTTGTAAATAACACATTTATATTACATTATAATTCAAATATTTTTGTATTGAATTCACCATTTAAAATATATGACAGTTTTTACAAACCAATTTTGACTTTTTATTTTCATTTTTTTATTACACTGCAATTCTTTAAAGACAGAAATGCTTCTCAGCCTCAGTGTGAGAGGTGCTGCTGGCAGGAAACTGGGAGAATCTGTTCTATTCACTGACCTCATCAAGGACAAAAACCAATAGGACAAAGCCTCTGCCTTCAAGAAGAACGCAGTGAAGACAAGACAGTTAATATGGCCACCTTAATTTTTTTCCAAGAAATGTTTTGGAAACCTGACATGATTGGCCTTACCCAACCTTTTATTTCTCAACAAACTCAAGGAGACAACTCATCCTGAAGTGCTACCCTTGGAAATACCTTCCTAAAAACAATAATAGCAACAAAATAACCAAGAAAATTATTTACTAACCCAATTGGAGAGAATAAAAGGTCATGCTTCAAAAGTTACCATTGCTTTGTTGTCTAAGAACAAGTTTTACTTTAAAAATAAAATGACAAGCCAGGCGCGGTGCCTCATGCCTATAATCGCAGCACTTTGGGAGGCCAAAGCGGATCGCTTGAGGTCAGGAGTTTAAGACCAGCCTGGCCAACATGGCGAAACCCTGTCTCTACTAAAAATACAAAAATTAGCTGTATGTGGTGGCACGCGCCTGTAATCCCAGCTACTCGAGAGGCTGAGGCATGAGAATCACTTGAACCCAGGAGACGGAGGTTGCTGTGAGCTGAGATTGCACCACTGCACTCCAGCCTGGACAACAAGAGCAAAACTCCAGCTCAAAAAATAAATGAATAAATAAATAAATAGTAAACAGTCACAGTAGAGGAGAGACTGAATTATTTTTTAATTTTCTCTATAGAGAATACTATGAAATCTTGGTCCTATTAAGAGATAATCAAAGAGTATGTAAACAAAAAAGGAATTTTAGAGTATGTTAGGCAGTTAGTAATCATGAAAATATTAATACTGATTTTTTGTTTATGGTATTTTTCAACTCTTTAAAATTTGTAACTTGTGATTAATAGTTCTACATAAACATTCAATTTTGTATTAGTTTCATATTTACAATTCTGCATTGTTTTTATTAAACAGGGTCCCCATAATGTATAAACTTCAGGCTCACCAAACCCAGAAGTGTCTAGGTACAACATAAACTCAATATGGACTGAACAACTAGTTTAGAAAATTCCAAATCTATGGTTTTTTCAGTGTCTTCCATAATGCGACCTCAGGTAATCAACTGACTTACTTGGCCAGTGGAAAGGAGTGGAAATAAAGATTAAGAGGTATCAACAACAGACACCCAGCTGTAGATGGGCCAGAAGAACAAACTCTGCCCCCAGTCTAGTGGTATAGAGGAGACACAGACAGAAACCATTAGCAAGCTTTAAGCAAGGGAGCAAGTGTTTAAGACAAGGAGGCAGGTGTGTGGACAGGGATCTCATTTATCATTAGAAAGATGGTGATGGTTTGAACCCAGGTGATGTTTCTTCAGGATTGCCACTGTTTTGTGTTGACATTCACCAAGCAGAATGATCTTTGCGTCATTGGGTACTTTGGGGCACCCTAAGTATGTAGGAGTCAGAGTTTTACTAGCTTCCCCAGCAATCCTTGCTTAGTCAATTGATTCCTATGTCTGCAGCCAAATGCTATAAAAAACTCCAGGGGAGGTAAACTCCTCCCATCCTCCTGGCTTTTCAATTAATCATTTAGATGGGAAACACAAGCCTACTCAGGTAAAAAGACACGTGAACTTCAGGCCAGGATCAGAATCCTGTCCCAAATATATGACTTTTCATCCTCCCTCAACCCTTAATGGGGGTGGGCGTGGGGGAGTGTATTTTTAAAAACAAATGATTTTAATTCATTCACCGTTTCCTAGCAACCAGGAAAAAGCATGTTATCCTGATGTCTGTGAGCACCAGTCTGAGACGCGCGGATGCTCCAGCATGCCTCCAGAAGCAGAGAAAGAACAAAAGCACTGGAATAGGTCTCCGGTTGGTGAGCAATTCTCAAAGGGGAATTTGTTAAGAGCAGGCACCTAATAGAATAGCCCAAGAGACCTGTACCACGATTGCAGGGGTGCAGCAGGGAACCTGCATGGAATGTGCAGATATTCTCCAGGAAATGATATCCCTATAGAATCTGGGGGCTCTGACTTCTAGGGAATTGTTTCTATGAAACAGTTAAAGCCTGAGACAGCTGACATCTTTCCAGTACCTCTTTTGTGTGTGCTTTCAGCCACACACAAAACACACAGCGGTCTTGTTTTCTTTAGAGCTCTATAGTCAGAGAAGAGGGGTAACTGGCAGAATTCAAATCTAGCTGAATTAGAGTCTGTGCAAATGGCCTTCTTTAAACCAGGCGTAGCTACTAAATGCCTATAAATCACTCACTTCTACAGCTGTAAGGAATCTCTCCAATCATGCAATGCTTTTTTTTACAGAGGAAGAAATGAAGAAACATAGAGAGGCAAATTAATTTGTTCAAGGTGCACAGCTAGTTGGTGGCCTCACAGGGTCTTCTGATCTACAGCTTAGTGGTTTGGGAGTGGGATATACTCATATTTTAAAGATTGAAACCTTTGCATATTATACTATATTGAATGGCGGTGGGGGGGGGCAGGGGATGGGGAGGATGAGGGATGATCTAAGAGGAAGCTGTCACAACAACCGAGCAACGCAAATATTATAACTTGTAAGTCTGAAACTCAAAGGGCTTGCTCAGAATTACAAGACAAGAATGGATTAAAGCACATGCTAAGTGTGCCTTAGTCCCCTTCAAGGAATTGAGATAGGCCAAATAGTCTAGCAACAAATGTTTTTCCAAATTATTGAATCAGAAGAATTTTAATGCATGCCAGACTTTATAGAGTTACAGAATGTTGGGGTAACAAGTGCTCTAGGCAATGTTAGCCAGGCCCATCTTTTTAGGATAATACCTGAGGCTGGGAAGCAGAAGATGCACAGCCACGTCAATGAGTGTGGCTTTCCTGGGTCCAGTGCTCTTTCTTCTCTAGGCAATGGGGCCACCTCTATGGCTTGCTGCATTCTCTCCCCGTTGACTCTGTAGGGGGCAATATTATTGTCTTGATACTTAATCAATTTCCTGTGAAATGCTCTTACTTTCTTCCCACTTTCATCTTATCCACATCCCGTTCACTCCCCAAAAACTGAAGCAGATGTAGCAGCAGCAAGAATGATCCAAAATGGCCGGGCACGGTGGCTCATGCCTGTAATCCCAACACTTTGGGAGGCCGAGGCGGGTGGATCACAAGGTCAAGAGATGGAGACCATCCTGGCCAATATGGTGACACCACTCTGTCTCTACTAAAAATACAAAAAAATTAGCTGGGCATGGTGGCATGCACCTGTAATCCCAGCTACTTGGGAGGATGAGGCAGGAGAATCGCTTGAACCCAGGAGGCGTAGGTTACAGTGAACCGAAATTGTGCCACTGCACTCCAGCCTGGCAACAGAGCGAGACTCTGTCTCAAAAAAAAAAAAAAATTATCCAAAATAACGAAGGTGGACTAGGGAATACTTTATTTAGATCAGCACCATCCTGTTTGCTCTTTGCTTACTGTTAGTAGAGCTGAATCAAGTGAAGCTCATATGGTACCATTTTTTAAAAAACCGTGTCTAAAGTTTGTTTTCCAATCATCTTTAGAGTAGTGATTTAAATACACGTACAATTTTAAAAGTACAAAGGGTAGTATAATAAACACCCATGGGTTTAGAATTCTGGAGTCAATAACTACTAACATTTTGTTATATTTGAGTATTGGGGTTCCTCAGAGAAACTGAATCGACAGGATGTGTGTGGATACACACACACACACACGGTGCAGTATAGGCTTAACCATCTCTTTTGCTCAAATATTTTGATTTTAAGGAATTGGTTGACATGATTGTGGGGTCTTGGCCAGTCCAAAATCTGATAGAGGAGGCCAGCTGCCTGCAGACTCAGGGAAGAGTTGCAGTTTGAATCCAAAGGCTACCTACTGGCAGATTCCTTCTTGCATGGGGGAGGTCAGTCTTTTGTTCTATGAAGGCTTTTGACTGATTGGACAAGGCTCACTCAGATAGAGGGCAATCTGCTTTCAAAATCCACTGAATTAAATGATAATCTCATCAAAAAACACCAGAAACATCCGGGATAATGTCTGAACAACTATTTGGTCATAGTGGCCCAACCATAAAATAAATTTAAAAATAAATAAAACATACAGATAGTGGCCCAACCATAAAATAAATTTAATAATAAATAAAAAATCACAGATAGATACCCTATTTATACCTCTCCCTGAGTACCCCATTCAATAGTGATGATTTTCTACAGACTCCTTTTTGATGACTTCAGACCTCTTTTGACCCCATCACCTGATCTTCAATTTCTGGTTCAGTGCAGGGGTGGGAATTGAAGACATATTTCCCATAACCACATTTTCTTCCAAGGACCTCCTGGCCATAGGAGGGTATAGATGGAGTCTATGGAAAACTGCATTATGAGCCACTGAGCCAGGGTGAACTCACTGGGAGTTATGCTCACAGAAAAACCCAAACGCATTTAGATCTAGATGGATCACATCCATCTAGTTTGGATGGTTCTGCCCAAATAGTCTCATCAGCTATTACACAAACCATTTTGGTTTTACTTGCTAGATTATTGCAAGGAAGAGTAAATTAAGTAATTAAGTGCTGGAAAAATTTGGAAGGAATAAAAGGTGTCAAATAAATACAAAGTACAGTGCATGAGCCTCCAGGCAGCTTTTTGACCTCGAATCTGCTGAATAAGAGGCCTGAATGAGGTGCTCCCTCGGATCCCTTCCAGAGCCTAGGACTCCATGACTGGTATTTGGAGTGATAGCATCCCTAACTCAAATTCTCTCTGATTTGCTGCTGTAGCCTCTAGGCTCAGAGAAGCGAGGCCTTCCCACAGGATCTCAAGTGTACTGTTAGCTGCAGATACCTGCTCAGCTGGCTAAGTCTTTAACATGGAAAGAAGGCTCATAAAGAAGGAAATGAAAAAGCTCTTGTAAGTATGATTGAGAATAACTTTCATTTATGACACTTGGCATTCAGTGGATTTCATGTCATGGATGGCTTGGAATACGTATTGGCAGCGGGTAAAAATCAAAGGAAGAATCTATTTCTGCATGGTAGGAGAAAATCAGAGGGTGATCTGGCCTCTCTCGGTCTCCTGCCAGGGAGGCCTCACATGTGGTGCAAGGCAGGATGCTGAAACTTTTGGGAGGATGTTTCTGCTGGCAGCCTGCACATTCAAGGCATCTGCGTTCTAGAGCCTGAGAGCTGAGCCTATGTCCCAGTCAGCCTGTGTAGGCAGGATGCACCGTTGAAAGGGTCTGCCTCTGCTGGTAAAAGGTATACGAGAGATTCCTGAAAGGGCCCAGCATCTGAATTGCAGCCTCCTGCTCTGCCTCTTTTATTGTCAGCCTTATTGACTAAGAAATTCATCTCCTTTTTCTTGACATCTGACCATTTTTAAAACAAACACAGAAAACATCAAGTTTCCTTTGAAAGAAATGTTTTCCTCCCATGGTAGTTTTTCTTTGACTTGTACTTAACGAATGTTAGTGAAAGATCACAAACCATATAAAAAGAAAAAAGAAAGATTATGTTCTATCTCATATATGTTATAGACACAACAGTAATACCCTTTTCATAAAAGAGCTATCACCACCCCCATCAAATATCTTTTCTTGGCCTTCTAAGATAATTTTATTTTAACAAGCCCTTAAGAAATACTAGAAGAAACTATGAATTTACATGTATGTACATATATACATGTATACACATATGTGAATTCATATATAGTACACGTGTACACATATATGTGTATGCACATGTATGTGAATTCATATTCATCTCTTGCTTTTAAGCGGAGATTATATTGGCATCAGACTTCAGGAAAATGAATTTGACCCAAAAGGAAGAAGGGAACTTACCTTTCTAGATCATATGGTAAAGAAAGGCACACTGATGCGAGTCATATTTGTGTTACATGTTAGAGACCAATAGAATAGTAAAGAACAAACCATGATCAGGAATGCCAACTCTTCCACATATCTCATCCAAAGATTTGGAATTTCAAAAGTGATATAAATACAAGTTTATATCCAAAGAATACATTTAGGCTACTTTAAAGTATCCTGAAATTTCAGTAGAAATTTAAGAATTTTTATCAATCTAGTTAAGCTTAGTGACTCAGAAGAAAAGATTTTAGAAGCCAGAAATAAACTTATTCTCCACCTTACGTAAAATTGTGAGATGTGCCGAAATCAACCTGGGAGATGCCATAGTCCTTCTTTTCCTGCACCCATTTCCTCTCTCTGACATTCCCAGGGTAGCACCTCTCTCTCTTCTCTCCTCATGGTGCTTATTTTACCTTCTTTTCTTAAAAGTCACTGTTAGGAAAGGATCTGCTAAGGATAAACTAAAGTGCAATCACTAATAAGTTTTCATGCACTCCTCCTCCTAAGGGTATTTGCTTTCTAAAGAGAAAAAACCTATGGAAAAGAATACTTACCTACAGAATTTTATGTATCTGGAATTTATCAACTTTGGACATGCTGCTTGAATTTAACACGGGAAGCAAATGATTATTTTAAACAGTGTGTCTCAATCCTTTTGGTCTTGTAAAACCATTTCTGTGTGTGGGTATTTGGCATATTATTTACTTTCCTATAAGTTCTGTTCCAGTTGAGTTTAATTTTTAGATAAATGTTATTTCAGCTAATTATGGTTAGACATTTTAAACCGCAGCACTGTAGAATTACCATGTAAACCAAAACTGAATATTAACTCAGCTACCAGAGTATCAGCAACTTCTGTTGTATTTTGGTGGAGGAGGGAGGGATGGGGGAAAAAAAGCCTTTTTCTGCAGACTGAGCCTGTGTCACTTCAATGGTTCAATGCTGCTCTCTTGCTTTTAAGGGGAGATTATATTGGCATCAGACTTCGGGAAAATGAATTTGACCCAAAAGGAAGAAGGCAACTCACCTCTCTAGATGATATGGTAAAGAAAGGCATGCTGATGCGAGTCATATTTGTGTTATATGTATATTAAAGAGACAGAAAAAGGATCTAATTTATACAATAAACAAGGCTAATATTGACACCCATCCCCCAAATGTCCTCTTCCTCATCTTCTCCTCACCCTGAGATTGTTCATATGGTCATTTCAACCCACTAACCAGAAAGCAAAAAGAGAATGAGAAAATAAAAATCATGAGAGTTATTTGCTATTAGGAAAGAAGATTAAAAAGCAAAATCAATGCAAGGCAAAATGTTACATCCGTGGAGTTAAGAGTTTGATAAAATTAGCTATCACGTAGTTCTCAAAATAATTTCTTTACCATTTGCATCAGTGGGGGAAAACCAAATAAATTAAGTAACCCTAAAAATCCTTGGTGTTATTTATTTTGAAACCCAGACTCAGGATCTGAAAGTTCACATCACAGAAATTAAGGAAGAAACCATATAAAGATCTAACTCAAAAGAAATCAGCACACCCTGTTTTTCCACTGCCCATTTACTATCCTTGCACTAATAAAAAAAACTCTGTCCCTTCACTCCCCTCTCCTCTTCTTCTCTGACTAAAGTAGAGTCAGTCTCACTGGCTTTCAAAACTACCCTGGAGCTAAGGAAACAGTTAAGCCTTATTCTCTCTGTACACATATTAAACAGATAAATTAAGTAGATTAGAGCAGTGCTTCTCAAACTTTAATGAGGTCATATTACAAGGCTGTTTTGATTCAGGAGGTGAAATGGGGTGGGCCCACAGCCTAGGAATTTGCATTTCAAATGAGCAAACAGGTGATGCCAAGGCGTCAAACCTCGGATCAGGTTGCAACAACTGGTCATGGTCCCATTCTTCCTGTTTATTTATTCATTTAGGTTCCCTGTTCAGTTTGGTTCAGTCCCTGGAAGAAATAACTCCACTGTTTAAAAATGTTAAAACTTAAGAACGCCTCTACAATAATTAAAAACAAAACCAATCTTCCTTTTCTGTGTGTGGGGACTGAAAGGAGAGAAGGAATATTTTGATAGACAAATGGTAAATATGCTTACTGAACAAGAACTCTTGGGAATTACTAGGAAAAGGTGGTCACTATGATAAAAATGAGCCTCTGCATTGGTTCTCAGCTTTTTACTATGTGTGTGTGTAAAACTCTCAGCAAGTCACTTACTCAGGTCTATCCCGCTCCCCGCCTGCCCCATCCTTGCTTCATTATAGTTCCTCTACCTGTGATTTCCTTCCCCATCTGTAGACATTCTCATCCCACAAGCCCCAGCTTCAATGAAGCTTTCGTCTCTGAAGCTTCTTGGGATTCTAGCTATCTCTCCAGGTAGACATAAAATGGCCCATCCTTCCAAATTCTCACCACACTGCCCCTGCACCCCTGGAAGCACATTTCTTACATTCTACTCACGGAACCAGAAATTGTTCCCTGCAGCCCTGTTCCCCCAGCCTTACCTTTTTCTATTTTAAAATTTAGGGAAACTGAGGCCCAGAGAGCATCAGTTACTCACCTAAGGATATTCCGTGAGTTGTTGGCAATACCTAGATTTGAGCCCAGATTTTCTGATTCCAAGTTTATAATTCTTCACTGATCTCTCCTTTCATTTCCAAATCACAGAAATCAGATAACTGCTCTAGTGGGAAATAAATTTAATGTCTGAAGATCCCAAAATATTTCTGACTGACTCATCCCTGTGAGGTGAGGTCTGAGAAAAAAAAAAAAAATCTGTCTGAGCATCAGATTATTAAAGCTAATGATCCTTCCCATTTTGGACATGACAGACTAGAATAGGCTTAGCAGTACCATTGTCATTGGGTCCAGAGAGTACTTCGGCCAATGTCTAAGCCTGTTTCTTTGCTTTCTGTGCTTCCTGCTCCCAGGCACACTATGACTTGGCCATCAGTGTTGCTTTGCAATGGCTGCATCCCTCAGAAGACTTAACTTGGTTGGAGTGGGAGGAACTGTAAGTTGAAATAGGTTTATTGCTTTCCTTTTTAATTTGTGCCTATGATTAACGATAGAGGAAGTTCCAGCCCTAACATATTCCATCATGAGGCACTCTGCTTTGAAAACACTACAGGGTGAATATCCCCTTCAATGAGACACCTGAGGAACCTCCACAGTTGCCAACTTGAAGAAGTTACATGTTTCCATGTTTTGCATCTCTACCAATTGACTTCTGTGAGATAAAAGACTTTCTTGCACAGAATGTTGTATCTTAAGGGGCCAGGTGCGGTGGCTCATGCCTGTAATCCCAGCACTCTGGGAGGCCGAGGCAGACTCATTACTTGAGGCCAGGAGTTCAATACCAGCCTGGCCAATATGGTAAAACCTAGTCTCTATTAAAAATACAAAACTTTGCCCAGCATGGTGGTGCACACCTGTACTCAGGAGGCTGAGGCAGGAGAGGAGAATCACTTGAACCCAGGAGGCGGAGGTTGCAGTGAGCCAAGATTGTGCCACTGCACTCCAGCCTGGGCAACAGAGTGAGACTCCATCTCAAAAATAAAGAATGCTCTGTGTTAGAAACGTGACTGCTTTACTGTGTACATGCCATAATTTCAAACAGTCAGTTCTACGGTTAAAGGCTGTAATCTTTTCCTAAGGACTACCAAACACAAATTCTTAAGCATTTAGGCAGATATGTATCTCAGCTGAGCTATTTGAAGCGCAGAATAATTTTCTTTCTGGGATTACTGGCATTTTCTGTCGTGTGTAGGGAGTGTACAGGCAGATTCACTCAATTGGTAAGAACACAGAACTAATGAGGACAGGATCAAATCGCTTATTCCAGAGGCCTGTTATTTTTTTTTCTACTCAATGGCTCTGGACTACACACTTGATCCTAGAGAGATGTAACAGGGTTTAGCTGCAATGAGCAGAAAATCCAATTTGAACAGCCTTAAGCAAAAAAAGGTGGGGAGTAGATTTTATTGCCCTTGAATCTGAAAAGTCCACGGGTAGGACTGTGTTAGGCATGGTTTAATTCAAAACTCAAACAATGTCATATGGATCTACCTCTTGACTCCATTTCCTCAGAGTGAACATCATTCCTAGTTTCAGCCTATTTCATTATCAGAGGAAGGGTGGAGATATATATATACACACACATATATATATACACACACACACATGTACACACACACACATATACACACACACACACATATATATACACACACATACACACACACACACACACATATATATATATTTTCATCACATAATTGTGTCTCAGTGGCTGTTACCTGACTTGTCTAGGGTTGGACAGTGGCAGTGCAGCGGAGGTGCAATACACTGAGAGCTCAGTCCACAGTGTATTTTTCACTTTTGGAATCTAGGGGTGTAGTGGGCTCCCCTAGAAGCATATAGGCTTACAGTGGGGTTAGGTAGTTCCCCCAAAGCAAATTGCCACAAGAACGGGAAAGGATAATGGTTCGCAAAACCGTAAACATTCCCCACAGTGGCCAGTCTGCCAGTCTTTGACTGCTGTGAAAACATGGATAGATGAGGCCAAATTCATCACCATTATTGGAAGGTTAAAAATTCAAAGTTTGGATTTCACCGATGGAGGAACAATCACATCAGTTTTATTAAGATAAACAAGCGGATAGCACACAGCCATTGCAGATTACTTATCGATTATCATCACAACCTCAGCAGGCATCAAAAAGAATAAGAATAAATCCTCCACTTGTATTTCCTATTCCCCATTAGGAAAATGCCATTTCGTGGCAGACCCATGTATCCCAATCGTAGAGAACGAGAAGCTATGATTTTATCATCTTATGCTGGAATCTTAATGGTAAGGAAAAGAATATTATTTGCCTATATGAATATTTCATATCTACTCTGAGCATTTTCACAGTAATGAATATTTACATTATTTTTCAACCAATGTTTCTAAATGTTTAGGAGTTACTAATAGTAAATGCTTCATTTTTTAACGTAATAAAAAGACTAACTTCTAAACTGTATGTGAAAACATTTATTCAAGAGGCAAAGAAAAAAAAGAATGAGAGACATAACTAATTGGTATCTGGAAAACTGATTCATCCATTGATCAGAAGTTATTTACTGTATTTAGTACTTATGATACCCAAGCACAGTTTTAGACATGCTGGAGCTATACTAGCTTTGTGTTGTAATAAAAGAAAAGCCATGGTATGATCATACTTTGTTAATGCTGTTGTTGTTTAACAGAACAGTATCCCGATTGAGGAAGTCTTTAGAATTTATGGGGCTGATTCTTCTGCCAGTTCTGGTACCATCAAGGTAAGGGTGACCCGGGATTGTCAATATAAGGGATTTTTAGAGAGAATTTATTTAGTGTATAAATGTATAATGTCGTATTTTCAGACATCAATTACGAAATAACAGTTTTGCATCAAAATGTACAAAACCAGACATAATCATTTCTTACCTGAATAACATGTTTATGAAATGCCTTTCATATGTAAAAGATCACACAGTAATAACAAATGTGTCTCATGTAAGGCTGAGAAGCGTCAGCAAAGAGGCAGCAAAGAGAGTACCAGGCTTGGGGGCCGAATTTTATTCTGCTGTGGTTTTGGTTTTTTTTGAGATGGAGTCTCGCTCTGTCACCCAGGATGGAGTGTAGTGGCGCGATCTTGGCTCACTGCAAGCTCTGCCTCCCGGGTTCACGCCATTCTCCTGCCTCAGCCTCCTGAGTAGCTGGGACTACAGGCGC